TGCCGTCAGAATGAGAGTCCAAACAGATGATTAAAAACATCACAATAATCCACTAGTAATCCACACCACTCTGGTCCAGCAATTAATTTCTTGTGAAGTGAAAAGCTGCGTGTTTGTAATAAACATTTGCAGCAAATTTTCATTTTTGGTTTAACTATTCCTTTAAAACTGTGAATGCCATGGTAACTCTTGGATGAGTTTGTGCTTTTGTAAACTAAGTATTGGCCCATTTTTGTGATGTTACTAGACCCCAGTTAATGGATTGGAGGTCTCCACTATCCAGAGGCAGCGTCTGGAGCTGCAGCTTCTCATAGCAGAACTGAAGGACCGTGACCAGGAGCTCAATACTATGGCAGCAGCCCATCACATGCAGCTGCTATCCTGGGAACAGGACCGTCAGAGAGTACTGATCCTGGAACAGAGATGTGCCCGACTGGAGGGTGAGAGTGACTCCAGAGCAGGGTTAACTAAAACTATTAAAAGCATTTGTGTTCATTGAAATAAAGCAAAACATGAAAAACTAACTGAAATAAGTTGAAGTTGAAGCACAAAAAAATACTAACTTGAATGAAATAAAAGCTGAAATAAAAATAAATTAAACCTAAATAGTAATTATTAAAAAATAAAAATGACAAAAACACATAACAGAATTACTAAAGTTTAAACTTAATATGCTTAACTAAAATGAAAATTGAAAATATAAAAATAAAAGCTAATTCAATTTCTCCAGAGTGAAGATCCCTGATAAACCTACACCAAAGCAATATAATTTAGTTTTAAATGACCAATTTCCATTCTTTTTCTGTCCCTTAGAATTAGGTTATTTTTGCTACTATACCTTTAAGAATTCTGTATTCCCCCTTAAATGTAAACACTTAAAGTGTACTGCTGTAATTTCATAAACTTGCTCTATGTTTGCAGTTCAATAAATGAAAAGTTTTAAAAAGTGGACTGGATCATTTTGAGCTGTGAACTCTTCTGATTCAAAATTGCAGGAAATTCAGTTTTCCTTGAATCTAAAAGTAATTAGATCTACAGTCTCTTCTGCTCACCAAGGCTGCGTTTATTTGATCAAAAATACAGTAAAAACTGTAAAATTGTGAAATATTATTATAATTTCAAATAACTGTTTTCTATTTGTATATATTGTAAAATGTAATTTATTCCTGTGATGCAAAGCTGAATTTTCAGCATCATTACTCCAGTCTTTAGTGTCACATGATCCTTCAGCTGCTCAAGAAGCATTTCTTATTATTACCAATATTGAAAACAGTTGTGTTAATATTTTTGTGGACGTTACGGTTAATTTTATTCATCCTTGCTGATTAAAAGTATAAAAAAAATATTTCTGATCCTAAACTTTTGAATGGCAATGGTAATGTATTTGAATGCTCATGTTTCCTTAGATGAGCTGGAGAAGCGTAATGAGGTGATCAGAGCTCTCAGTAAGCGGACGAATGTGGCGGAAACGAGAGAGAAAAACGTGTACAGAGAGCTCAACAGCACCCAACACCAGCTACACGAGCTGAGCCACAGACAGATGAACATCTCCAGACATGAGCAGGACTTGGAGGTGAAGTCAAATCTGTTTTTAGGTCTGAAATTCTGGTCCATATCCTGTTCCCATTCCTCCATCTCCCCACATCATTTATTGTCCACTTTCTTTATCTTATGATAAAAATACTCCATAAGTTTTATTATAATGTATAATATATTTAGTTTATTCATAGGAGAGGAACCAGAGTCTGAACTCCACAGTCATGATGCTGTCATCACAGGTGGGGCAGCTGCAGGTGCGCGAGGAGGAGCTCAGCTCCATGCTTAAACTGAAGGTAGCAGAGACTCACACTCATGCACACATCCACTATCTTATATCCTATTTATTCAGACACATTGATGTAAGTGCTTGTTTTTCTTTATCAGGATAAAGATGTGATTGAGGCCACCAATCACATTTTAGAGCTGTCCGGTCGTCTGTGGGAACAAGAGAAATCACTCGAAGAGCTGCGAACACGTGAGAGCAAAACGCTGCGAGAAATGAAGGAACACAAACACTGTTTCAGAGAGAGCAGACATGAAAACACACAACTGATAGGTAGACCGTGATATTTCACAATCTCTCGTTGCGTCCGAAATCAAATACTGTATAGTAGGTACTTTATTTGGTTTGAAAATATCTTTGCGACTGTTAAACAAAGTACATTCTTAATTGTATTAATGTTTGTTGTATGAATTAATTCATGGATTCATCAGGATGCATGTTTAATTTTTTTGCAGCCGAGCTTCAGGAGAAAACCATTGAGAACAACAGCCAGAGAGAAGAGCTCATCCGCTTAAAGCAGGAAAACCAGCTGTTGAAGAAAGACATCACTGCTGTTGAACTTCAGATGATGAGTATGCCACTTACTGCATGTTTCATAGTGTAATATCGGCTGTGTTTCAAACGCTAGTGACCTGCCTAAACAGCATCACACACATGCTTCAGACACAGAAACATCTATAGAATCATTGCAGAGCAATAGACTGCATCTGTTAAAAACTGCCAATAGAACACTAGAGGTAATAAACAGCAGTGATGCTTAAACACTGATTGGTGCAGAAAACATATTTAATAGTCTTTTCATGAGTGTTAATGCTTTGTTAAATTAATGGAGGTTGCCATGTCTGTTGCCCAGATGAAGATAAAAGCTGGAGGGATGAATTACTTGAACTTTCCCGATCAAAACAAGCTCGAGCCGAATCTGAGCTGCTCTGTCTGCGGCAGGTACTGTCTTTCAAAACTCCCTCTCTTTACATCATCCAATGCCAGCCAGCGTTCATTTTTAGAAATCTCTGTCCTTTCCATTTGTTTTCCAACGGAAAAAACGTTGTTTCCGGTTTTTCAGCATGCTTGTAAGACTTCCTGCATTCCTTTTCCATGACATGGTTGGGATCTCTTCTAAAACAGCTCCACAGGCTATAACCCAGTGCTACTTTAGTATTATTGAGATGCTATTATAGTTTTTATATTTACAGTTTAATTTGAATTAATTAATTAAATGTTTTTTAAATAATTTTGTTGTGTATTTTTGTCATTTTTATTTATTTATTTTTATAATTATTTTTATTTGATTTATTTTAGTACTTCAAGAAAATTAGAAATTGCCTGGGCAATTAGCTGAAATAAAATAAGTATATATATATATTATAAAACAGTTCAAGTTTATTTTATTTCAAGTAACAAACATTTATTTGATGCTTTTTGCTTTTTTAAAATATGAATCATTTTCTTATTTTAAGTACTTATAATGTGATATTTCATATTTCTCAATAATCCTGGTCTACATTACTGTACTTAAGGCATCAGATATGTTCTGATTGGTTAGGATTTGCTTCACACCAAGTCAGCACATAATAGATGATTGATAGTGTTATGATATATGCATATGTTTGTGACAGGTGTGTGAAAACCAACAGAATGACCTCCAGCTGCTAAAGTTGAACTTGGAGAGCGCCAGAGAGTCACTCCGATATCATGAGGGTCAAAGGTCACGGGAGAGGTGGGGATCTACAATGTGCAGTGTTTTATAAACTTACATTTCTTATTTCAGCCACTGGATTTACTTCTGTCCAGACCAGTGTTATTTTATTATTTTTTATTTTTTTTACTAATATAGTTTTTATTAATATATTGAGTTATATTTTATTTTAATTTTAGTTTTAATTTTTAATAATACTGTTATATATAGACATTTTGATACAGTACTTCTGTCATTTTAATATCTTTTTAAAAATATTACTATTTAAGTTCAACATATTTTTATTTCAGTGTTAGTTTTTATTCATTTCCAGTTAGTATTTTGAATTAGTTTTTATTTTTGTATTTTATATGTTCAGTTTTCATTTTCCTTTTAGTTTATTTTTAGTAATTTATTTAGTGTTTTTAGTAATAAATATAATTACTATTTAGGTAATATATTGTTATTTCAGTTTTAGTTCAGTTTGAGTTTTTCTTCATTTCCAGTTAGAAATTTTTATTTTAAATTAGCTTTATTGTTAATATTTTCAGTTATTTTTATATTACTGTATAGGTTTAATTTATTTTTATTTCAGTTTTAGTTAGTATTCATTGCTAGTTAGTAATTTTAGTACTTAAACTTATTTCAGTTATTTAACAAAGCAGTATTTCTTTATTTTTTAGTTTTAGTTTATTTCAGTTTTAGTTAATAACCCTGGTCTAGACATCTTGAGTTATGAGTGTTATTGTGTCCGTAGGGCTGATTCTGGTATAGGAGACAGTCATGTGCTAGAATACAGTGATCATCAAGAAGGGACAGAACTAGAAACAGGGCTAATGTCCACCCTGTGCCGCAGCACAAGCGGAAAAGCCCCATCGGGTTTAACACGGCATCCTTGTGTTGAAATGGAAACGCAGACTGACTCTGAGCATGACTTTGGCGCAGCTTTGAGTGCCACAAACCATGAAGTCGCAGAACAGTCAGACGTAGAGGAAGGTTGCTCAGGCGCCAACATTACAAACAGCTGTGCAACTAGCCAGTGTGACATCAGTGAACAAGAATCACCCAAGATGGAAGTGAAGGAAAGAGCGAACAACTGTGTTGAGTTGTCATCCCAGTCTCTCTGCTGTGATTACGCTGACAGCCCATCAGACGATCCACAGAGTCAGGCAGTGTATTCTGACATTAGAGCTGACGTGGATTTAATGGCTGTCATTGACTATGATTCAGAGACAGGAACTCCTGTCTGTGTAGTCGATGTGGATATCAGTCCAAGATTCTCTTGGTAGGATTCTCTAGCTTTATTAAAACATCTTGCGAGTTAGGTTGTAATCATAGGTTTGTACAAAAACCTCAATGAATCAGAAAGCAAAGTTTCTCCCCTTATTTAGATAGAAGCCTTTGCATTTATGCATGTGGCAAATGCTTTTTATTCAAAGCGACTTACATTGTATTCAATTATATTTTTATCAGTTCAAGAATTCCCTGGGAATCAGATCCGCACCTTGACGATGCTAAAAGCATGTATATATTTTAAATAAATGTCCTTTTTTTGGTGGTTTATTAAAGGAGAGCTCAGTTTTACGATGTTCTACCATAATAAAATCCAGTGCACTTAATATTGCATTTTTTATGTAGGCATGTTTTAAGATTGAGCATGCAAAAAACAATGGTAATTTTGTTGGCCTGATGATAACCGTGACTTTCTCTTCATTTACTAGTGTGGCAGATCTGAGCCTTCTTCATCTGGATTGCCCCTCCCCCTCTCACAGAAGTAGGCGGAGCTCTGTCTGTTTACCCGATTCTAGGCTAAGCATTGAACTCTGTGCCAAAGATGTAGCTCACCACGACAATGAGGTAGCTCAACACTTTACATGTATTTGTATCAGGGATGTGATTTTTCTCTATTTATACAGTTTTCTGTATTTTCCTACCTGAAAAGTATGACCCTTGTGAATTGTGTAAATTGCAGCATTTTCAAATACAAATTGCAGAAAAATAAAATTAATTGCATTTTTTTCTGTAAAATAATGATGAGGATGTTAATTATATTAAATACTCATTTTTACAGTACAATAGTACTATTGCAATATTAAAATATTTCTCTATTGATTTATTTTTTATCATTTAAATAATAATAAAAAATAGCATTTTAATTATTATTATAATGAAATACTCAATTTGTACAGTACAATTGTATTATTGCATTAGTAATGTATCTTTATTCATTTTCTTTTTAGAATTGAAATAATAATCAAATAAAGTGTTTTAATAATAATAATAATAATTAGTATTATTATTAAATAATTATTTTGTACAGCACAATAGTATCATTGCAATAGTAATATATTTCTTTATTGATTAAATTTTTTATAAATTCAATAATAATAAAATAACAAGTAGTATTTTGATATTAATAATATTAATATTATTATGATTAAACATAAATTTTTACTGTATTATTTTAATAGCATTATTGAAATAGTAATATTTAGTTAATTATTTAATTAGTATAATTTAAATAATAACAAAATTAAATATTTTTTAGTTATTATTATAAAAAAAAAAATTTAATAGTTGTATTGAAAGGGGTGAAAAACATTCTTTTTTTTGTCCTTAGCTGATCACATGCCTGTTTTATGCATATTTGTATGGTGTTATCAGGGGGGTTAAATTGGGATCTGTTATGTGGGGTGGGGGGTCCTGGCCCAATTTAACCCCTGCGAGTTACCAACCTCTAACTTTATTGCATGAATGTTTGCATCTCACGCAGGAGGACTACAGCTCATCCACAACACGGTTACAGCGTCTGCTCGCTGAGTCTCAGGAAATGGTGGCAAGTTTGGAAAGTTCTACCAAGAAATCTGTCAGCCCGACAAAACCTCAGAGCCCAACGAACTGCGATGCCGGTTGTCACCTCCAAAGTAACCATGGCAACGGCAGCCACTCCCAAACCTTCACCCATAGCCAAACACGCCGGGTACTTATTACATCACAAAACTCATTTGCAACAGTTTAATGCATAGTATAAATGACGCTTCAAGGTGAAACTGCACCTAAATGGCATTTTCTTCTTATTGTCCTAAAGTAAAGTGACTCCCAGATCGAAAGCAACCCACGTTTGCAACAAGGAAGCAAGTAATGTGGTCCATAAAGCCACGAGAAGCAACGAATCCTCGTTTGCTACAGTCTTCTCTCACTGCTTCTAAAAAAATAAATCAGTTTTTTGCAACCAAAGAGGAGTTTTGTAAAGAGAACACGTATTTAAAAAAATTATAATTTTACAGATACTGTAATTCAATTATTATTATTTTTTTAATCAAACTCTATTTTTATGATATGTGTACAAAAATAAGCATTAATGATTAATCCTACAGAAGCACTACAGCACTACCTCTGACCAATGTAAAGACTGGTGTTATTTATAACTTCTTTCTTCAAGTGTTAAACCTGTCCTACAAGTTGACATAATGGTGCTGGTTGTTTTTTGCCATTCCAGATTCACTGTCATCTAACCTGTTTGGTTTCAAAGATAATGAACTTTGATGTGGCTCTTGTCTGGATCATCATGTTTTACATCCGAAATGCAGTCTTGTTCCCACAGAAAGGACAAGGTGCCATCAGCCTTTTCAAAAGCCACTGAATTGCAGTTTATTTGCCTAATCTCAGGACATTTAAAAGAACAATAAAGGTCGTTACATGCTGTCATTAACGGTTTTCTTTTAAATGGTGGTTTTGAGTGACTTCCTAATTTTAGTGTAAATTTGTGTGTGTGTGTGTGTATATATATATATAATTTTATATATATATAAATACAAAAAATTTAAAATAATACAAATAAGTAGCTTACGTAATAAGCAGATTTTTACAGATTTTACAGAAAAGCTTACAGATTTTTAAAAAATTAAATTAAATTTTATTTTGACTGAAAGACTGTTGATGGAGCACGTGTGAGGAAACTCACCTGTGTGTGACTCGTTGACGTGACCGGTAGATCTCAGGTGTGTGTGTGTGTGTGGGTGTGGAGGGACTAAAACGAACATTTGTACATCTGGTTTCATCTGAGGAAGGAGTTAAACATGGCCTCAAAGAAAACCGAATCGAAGAAAAACGAGAAAACGGATAAATCTGAAAAGGCTTTCGTCACATGTGGTTGCCGCAAGCCCTCCAGACGCTCCTTCGTCGAGTCCGCCGGCCGTGCCGTTCTCAAGCCCGACACAGCATCAACAGTATGGTGAGGGGTGTAACATTTCCGTCACACGCTTGAGGTATTCGGCCAATCACAACGCACTGGATAGCTGGCCAATCACAGCACACCTCGCTTTTTCAGACCGATGAGCTTTGTAAAAATTAAAGTGTTTCAGAAAGGTGGGGCATAGAGGAGCAACAATAATGTACAGTATGTGGGAAAATAATGTGTTTTTTTAACCTTAAACCGCATAAACACATTTCATTACACCAAATAATGCTGTTTTTAGCAGCATCATATGACCCCTTTAAAGATACTTTAACCAAAAATCTTTCTTTGGCGTTTTCCTTTTGCTTTCAGTGGTAAAATAAGGTAATATGACAGAAAACACCTGATAAATTGTTTTACACTTTTAAATGCTCATATTCGATCACTTCAAATCCCCGCATGATTTAAATTATTATATGTCATGTGTCGCCTAACAATAATTGCCATTATATTTTAATACACAGTTTCATTTGCATACCTTGTTTTTTTCGACATGTGCCATATAATGCCATGTTTTTTGACATGTGCCACGGTAATATAATGCTTCTGGGTATGTACCACAGTAACATGTTTGTTTTTTTTTAATGTTTTTTTTTTGGACCTGATATAACATTCATTTTAATACCATAACCTTGGCTAAATACCATAATATTGTTATCTCGGATCACTGTCCAGTGACCTTTTCTATTAAGATAGATAATATGGAGAAACCACAAAGAAATTGGAGGCTTAATTCCCATTTACTTACAAATAAAGAGTTTATTAATCACTTAAAACGGGATATAAAAATGTTTTTCGACTTAAATGACAAACCGGACATTTCTATGGGGGTGCTATGGGACACATTTAAAGCATACATTAGGGGTTGTATTATCGGTATTTTCAGATACATTAGGTATGCTTATCGAACCTGATCCTATATTAATTATATTTGGAGTTTCCGAAGAATTTTTAAGACTTGCACGAGTACAACAAAACAGTTTGTTTCATATGGGATAATATCTGCTAAAAAACGTATTCTTTTGTTTTGGAAGAAAAAAGAAGTTCCAACTCTTAAATTATGGCTGACAGAATTGTCAAGTACACTACATCTGGAGAGAATTAGGTATACCCTAATAGACAAGACTTTGTTATTTGAAAAAATTTGGTCCCCTTTTATTTCCTTTTTGCAAACTTGTGATTAATATGTTTATATTAATCACATTACCTACATTACCTACCCTTACCATTCGATAGCACTTATGGGTTGAGTTTTTGGGTGGGAGGAGATTTTATTTTATTTATATTTTCTGTTTAATTGTTTTGACTATTGTGTTTTTTTTGTGTGTTTTTTTGTTATGCCATTTGTTAAAATTTAAGTTTGTTTGCATTTTTAAAAAAAAGAAGTGTAATTACAATTGACTTTCTGTCAAAATTTCTAATAAAATATTTAAACATAAATACCATAACCTTTTTTGGACATGTGCCGTACAACTGTGTCATATTCATTTACATTACATGTGTGCATCATTTATTGTGTTTAATCAATGATGTTATATCAAATCTCAATTTCATCTGCTTTACAGCTTCAAAGCATCACCAAATCCATCACCAGCCTGAGGCCCCTATCAAAGAGAAATATGGACGCAGTATCCTTTAGTATTGGTTTAATACAGCATTTCTTATGTTCATATTTATTTGTGTGTTGTATTGGGCTTTCACAGATGCCCAGGCTTTTTCAGTCAAATGTAGTTGTGCTGTGCTTTTCACAATACACACTGTTTCAAAGCAACTTTACAAAAAATCTATATGTTAATGTTTATAATATCTTCATGCCTTATAGTCACATTTAGCTGGGAGATAATATAGTTTAGCAATATAAACACTCAAGCAATTGAGATTTGCTTTAATGTATATAGCTTAATGCGAGTGTACTGTATGTATATGGATAAAGTTAGTTATATATTTCCACCATTATATAAAGAGCTGGGTGATAATATAGTTGCATTTTGAGACACAATAAAAAAATGCAGGTATTTTGAATTTGCTATACAGCTAATGCTGTGTATCATCTTTGCTATATATCATCTGGACTAGTACATTGTCCTTAACTTTTGCACAGATATCATTTTAGGCACACATAAGGAAGGCGGTGCCGTCACGTTCTGGTCTCATGCCGTAAGTCTGCCGCTGTCCAGTAACGCCATCCTCAGCTGGAAGTTCTGCCACATGGTGCACAAACTGCTACGAGACGGCCATCCTAACGTAGGTCTCATCTACCACAATATCATCTGATGAAAATTACTTTCGTTTGACTTTATTTGGCTAAAATGACCCTACAAATGTAATTCTATGTTTTGCTTGTAAACCTTACGAGACAGCAGAGGTCACACCGCAAGCATTAGACAGATGGGAACATTATGGGTGAGTGTCGAAATGATCTGGTGTTTTTCTATTGAGCAAGTCATTTACATCATCACATTAATCTTTCATGTGAATCTTTCAATTTAAATTTTGTATGTGTTTGCTGTGTTTTAGGGGAATCTACAGTACATGATAGATATGGGCATATTGTTGCACTGTATGCCAAGCTGCTGTGTATTAAAATTGATTTCCATTTAAAGGTAAGTTTAATCCTTCCTTCAATGACATTTGAGTTTATATATATATATATATATATATATATATATACATATATGTGTGTCTGTGTGTGTGTGTGTGTGTGTGTGTGTATTTATCTTGTTTCCACCACAGCATCTGGAAATCCCACCAAACCTTGAAACTCCTGAACAAGTCCTTGACAAAGCCATCGCTATTGATATCAACCCAGTGTAAGCACATTGCTAATGATTTTAGTGAGCTTGAATAATCTATTAATGAAAATTAGTTAATACTTAGTTATAATTGTTATTTAACTCCTGAACAAGTCCTTGACAAAGCCATCGCTATTGATATCAACACAGTGTAAGCACATTGCTAATGATTTTAGTGAGCTTGAATAATCTATTAATGAAAATTAGTTAATACTTAGTTATAATTGTTATTTATACAGGCTTGACATGACAGGTGAGGTTCTGGAGTACATGGAAGCAGCTCTAAAGCTGCAAGAAACAGGTATACATAATGTTTTGTCATGTTTTTGTTTTTAATCTAACTCAAATAAATGCTTTTAATGCTTTAATTAATCAGTTACACAATAAATTGACCAAAAGTGACAATAAAGACATTTATAAAGTTCCAAAAGACTTCAATTTCAAATGCTGTTTTTCTTTTACCTTTCTACACGTCAAGCAATCCTGAAAAAATGTATCATGAATTGCACAAAAAATATGAAGCAGCACAACTGTTTTCAACATTGATAATAATAAGAAATTTTTCCTGAGCAGCAAATCAGTATATTAGAATGATTTCTGATGGATCATGTGACATTGAAGTAATGATGCTGGAAAATCACAGGAATACATTTTATTCAGTTATTTTAAATTGTAATAATATTTCACAATATTTCAGTTTTTACTGTATTTTTGATCGAATAAATGCAGCTTTGGTGAGCAGAAGAGACGGTAGTGTGTGTAAAAAAAAATTTTTTTTTTTAAACTTTCTGCAAACTTTTGAATGGTTGTGTACAATGGAATCAAAAGGTTTATGAATAATTAAAGATATAGAAATGTCATTGCTTTACATAAAATATCAAACTAAGTGGCATAATGTTTTGTTTTTTTACATTAAAACATTTTTATTTGCATCTGGTCTAAAAGTTTATTATAAGTGAATATAGAACATAATTTCACAAAGTTGCCATGGTTTCCTATTCGTCTTTCCTCCCATTTGAAAACTCTCTCATTGCTGGTCACCAACATATGATGCACTCCAAATAGCTTCTTAAATCATTTACACAGCAAGATCTTCTTGGTCATTTTACTCTTGTTTTAAACAGAAGTATTTCAGGCTAGAGATCTTCGCTTTGTTTGCTCAGTTGCTCTTTTGATTATTTGCATGGCGCTGAACAAGTACTTGTGATGAATTCATTGTAAACATGA